ATGTATTTTGTCTCCATACCTTTTCATTATGTATGCAGAACAGATCATCCGAGACGCTGTGCTATACGAGGAGGACTGTGGCATCAGGATTGGTGGAAGAGTCATTAACAACCTGTGTTATGCAGATGACACAACCCTGCTTGCTGAAACTGTGGAGGACTTGAAGCACTTGCTGTAGAAGGTCAAGGGCTGCAGCCTCCTATATGGATTGAAGCCCAACATCAAGAAAACAAAGATTCTCACCACAAGGCCAATTGGCAGCAACAGTATGGATGGTGAAGAGACTGAGATAGTTAATACTTTTAGTTTACTTTGTTCCACAGTCAACAGTCTTATTAACTGCAGCCAGGAAATGAGGAGACGACTTGCATTGAGAAAGTCAACTGTGAGGGACTTCTCAAGAGTACTGAAGAGCAATGACGTCAGGTTGGAGACTAAGGTGCGCATGATCCAGGTTATGGTATTTGCAATTATGTGCTATGCATCAGTGAGTTGGACAGTGAATAAGGATGATAGAAAGAGAATTGATGCCTTTGAGTTGTGGTGTTCGAGAAGAGTGTTGAATATTCCATGGACTGTTAGGAGGAAAAAACAGGTCGGTACTGGAGAGGGTGAAGCCAGAATGTTCCTTAGAGTCAAGGATTCTGAAGCTTCGTCTGACATACTTTGGGCATGTTGCGAGGGACTGATCCTTGGAGGGACATCATGTTTGGCAGAATGGAGGGACCGCACAGGAAAGGAAGACCCTTGATGAGATGGATCGACTCTGTGATTGAGGTGTTGGGAATGAGTGTGTTGGAGACGGCGAGGTTGGAGGATATAGCAGCTTTTAGGGCTCTTATATATAGGATCGCTATGAGTTGCAAGAAATTCGACTGGACATAACAACAACAACAATACTCTTCAAAGAGAAGAACGAACTGGGGGAAGCGAACTGGGCAAGGAAAAAATTGCAAAAATCAAAGAATGGAAATCCTAAGTCTCTCTAAATTTTCATTAAAATTAATGAATTTTAAAAAAAAGAAAAAAATTCTTCCATTGTTAAACAAAATCCCCCCCTCCCCAAGTTCAAAGTCCACATTAACATGCATTTCTCTGTTTTAAAGACAGAAACAGTTTAAGTCTCTGAGAAACCAATGCTATTTTGTAACTGGGCTAAGGCAAAGCATGGATTTGAACCAATAGATTTGTCTAACTTGAGTGCATGGCTTAGCTGTCTTAATAAAAGGACTTTCAAGGAAAAAACAAAACAGTTTTCACATTTCTCATATAAAATTATTAATATTTTAAGCAATGATACTTATGATCAATATTTAAAAAAGGCTTTGTGATCTTCAATAATTTAGGATTATAAAGGGGTATTGGGTAGACACTTGGTGGTATAATATCCTTTGTGATTGACTAATTATACTCAGTACAAATGCCTTCCAGGTACACTCATAGTGTGAGGTGTTCCTTGAAATCATCATTCCTTCTACTATTAAGTAGTCTTCCATTGTATGTGTGTGTGTGTGTGTGTGTGTGTGTCTCTGTGTGTGTGTATGCACTCTACAGAGATTTATCCACACACCTGTTGACCATCATTGAGTCTGTTACCATCATTTAGTTATTGCTAATGGTGAGTTAAGTGTACACATGTCTACTTGTGTTCAAGCTCCCTCTTTTCTCCCGGATATATGCCTAATTGTGGGATTGTTGGACAATATATTCCTTTTTCCAACATTTTAAGTGTGTGCCATACCATTTTCTGTAAGTATTAAATTTAATTTCATTTGTACATTGATCATTTTATATTAAACTTAAGTCTAGTTTGGTGAAAAATGTAAGATGGGAGTATACATTTTTCCAAGTAGTCCTCAGCATAATTAACTTTCATTTCCTTAAATTCTTATGTATTTACTTTTGTAAAGGCATTTTTGAGTTCTAAAACAGCAAAAAT